AAAACTCCCGAAAACTGGTTTTTTTAGTTGGTTAGAATCCAACACTACCCAGGCCCTAGAACACTGGGTGTCTTCGTAAATATTTTTTATTCCTCCAGCCGCCGGGCAAATAAAAAATAATAATTCCTCGTAAGAGTTGCACCAGCCTCATTTTCGAAAAACTGCACCAAACAGTGACATGTTGAGGATGGAGGAGATTTTCCACAATCATTATTGGATTTTCTGAGCCCCAAATGCGACAATTCGGCTTATTAACGTAGCCTCACCACTGAAAATGATTTTTCGATGAAAATCCGGGTCATTTTGATTCACTTGAAGGACCCATTCAGCGACGATACGACCTTTATGGTGATCAACCGGCTTGAGTTATTCTGTTAACTGTACTTTAAAAGCTTTAAGACTTAAGTATTTATGCAAAAATACGGTGGAATGTCTAATTCCAAAGATCGACGAGGAATCGACAAACCTGGAGCCCAATTTTCTAACCTGGGGAACGGCGTTCTCATGAGAATCGAGAGTGTGGTTCTCTCGTGAAGCCAATATTCATATTCTCGAACGCAATCGAGTGATCCCATCACGCAACGGCAGTAGAACAAGCTTCTCTTGCCAATTCTCGAGAGAACGCATCGTTCACCTGCTTTATAACCGCACTTTTTCGAACATCCATTTTTGTCAACGCGAATTTTGCGACTGAGTGTTTAAAATTTTTTTTGTAAAGTAACTTCTTAGGCTTAGTTGTTTGTAAAATATGAGCCATCTAATGGGGGTACTAAAAGAACGTACAGCCAGCTTGTATAGAAATCTCTCAACAATTTCTACGATAAGTTTTAGTGTTTGGAATGGTGAATTGTAGTAGAAACAATTTTAGAATTACTAAATATGCTTGTAGTTGCAGAGGAAAAAGGCAGGGAACTTGTATCTAACAATTAAGGCTTTTGATATAAGTGCTGAAAAGTTTGTCAAGCTTTTAAGACTAAACAAGCATCTGGGGCTTCAATTAATAGATCAAGCGACCGCATATCTTCGAACACCAAGCAGAAGGTCTGCTATAAGTATAAAAATAAAATTAAGCCACGAGAAGACTGCAAAGATAAATTGTCTGCTAAAAGTATAAAAATAAAATGCTTCAATTAAAATCATTTTTTAATAAAATATCATAATTTTCAATTTAAATGGCGAGTTTTTATATTTTTAAGACATTTAATTAAATATTTCAAAAAATAACACTTTTATTAATACGTTGATTGCTATGTGCGGACTCATATTATGCATACCAATCTTGCCAACTTGCTTACATATTCTGCATACTATCAGATACATCAAAAACGATAACAAAAATTATTATTATTAATTAATTATCAATTATTTTTTAACTTCATTTAACTCCTGCAAACTACTAGAGAGAACCGGAGAACTCATGCCGTATTTAAGGGCGTGATATTTACTTTTTTTCTGCAATTCACACAGTAAATTACACTTAAAGTACACATTTAATTGGAAAAAACAACACAATGTATTTGTATTTAACCTGGAAGTTAATTAAATACACTAAATATTTGGCTTTCAATGTAAGTTCAGACAACACTTAATATAAAACCAAATAWACTTATGCGTCAACAAGAAAAACATTTGTATAATATTTTTSAAATGCCGCCAATTTTGGATAAATCTTCGCCTTTTTATGGAAAATTCATAGAATTTATTTGATAAACTTGTTGGCAACAACGCTTCGTAGGCATTCGAGAATACGATTTTCAAACCATAGTAGAAAGGCCGGGGAAGGAAAAGATCACATTGTCGATGGGATCGTTCACGCTCTGTCCAACTCGAGAATTGGGCGCCTGCGGGCTACAATAGCAATATTCTTAGTTGTTCTTGAGTTTCAGCACACAGTTTCGATTCTTCACATCACTAACTGAATTTGGTGCTTTGATTTTGCGAACTGTGACTGCAAAATTTTCATTTATTTGGATTCAGTGCTTTGTTAAAGCGTGTATCGTACCATTTTTAATAATAGCGCAGTTTTTACTTCTCAAATGCCAAAAGATGACCTCTTCAATATTGATGGAAACCATGGAAAAGGGCTTCGTAAATGGATAACCCAGTTACAGACTATGCGGGTGGCGCTCATTGCATTTCAATACCGAATATTGCAAAGCAGGTACGCCTCCAGTACTGCCGAACTGAAGTTAGGCTTTATGCATTTTTAGGCAGAGACATCGTCGAAAGTATGAATCGTCCGAAACTGAAAAGTACTTCCTCCCCTTCAGCTATGCATCTACGGGCTGTTGCGGCCCTAAATATTCGCATATTGAATTAAGAGAAAAAAATACCCTTTTGGCTTTTAAATCCATCATAAAACAATACTTACACACTTTGTGATCTGTTTCTATTTCTTTAACAGCTTGCATGTTGATTAGAACAAAACAAACCGCAATAGATGTAAACACCAATGTCACCAAAACAGATGTCAAATTACTATTTAACGTGTAATTATAATTGTAGCCACCAGGGGGCGTTTGGACTTTTGAACTCGCGAATTCAAAATGAAACCTCTTATTGGAAAACCCTTTATGACAGCAATATTCCCATAGTATTTATTTATTTATTTGTCGAGTAAGAAAATACTTACTTGTGCAACTTGTGAAGTTCTGCTATTTTCCTTTCCATCTCTTCAGTCTGATTCGGTATCAGTCGTATATTTGACAAGTAATTCGAATTATGCTCGTCGGGATTGTAGTCGCCTAATTCGGCTAATAAAAATGAATATATCATGAAATTATATCATATAAAAATATTAGCAGCATAAGCATCCTATAAACTATTACTGATCCAAAATATTATTTATTAATTTCAACTAAGTAATCAGCCTATTTTGCCCAAAAGTTTTTGAACAATTTATTTTTGAATTAAAGTTAGGTCGGGATTTCCCAACGACGTAGTGCTTAATTCTCAATTCGTAAAATTTTATATTTTTAAGGATGGGTTAGCCAGTTGCTAAATTTAATACTTAATTTTTACGAACGTCATGTGTCGATGTGATATAACATGAAACGTTGTTTATATCACAGAATATTCCCCCTTAGAATGGAAACAAAATAGGGTGCGACTGATATTCTAATTTGATGCTGCAGTCTACCAGATGGCGTTATACAGACGCTTTGTGGCGAGCATCCATAATGCAAGGTAGCCGGTTCCAGATAAACTTACGACTATTAGTGAATAATTAAACAACCAAACAGATATAAACAATGTTTTTTTATCACAGTTTTGGCATAGTCATAGCTGGAATGGTAATTTTTTTAATCGTAGTTATAAAATTGATATTCGGTTAAGAAATTAGTCAAGTTAAGAAAAAGTAATTGGGTGAGGCGACAACACTGTACTTCTTCGTCAGTTTGCGAATTTCCCAGAAACTGCCAATGTTTATAATACCGTTTTGTTGCAAAATTCTCAAATTCTTCTCTAAAACGGCATTATCATTTGATTATCTGAAGAGATACTACTTTGAGACGTTTTCAGTTTAAGGGGGGAACTTAAACACCCAGATGAAAAAGTGTTCAGTGCCCAGTTGTGCCCCCAGTATGGCCGCTTTTTTCACATTTCCTTACAAACTATTGAGCATACACACATCTGAGGCAGATAATTACAAAGTTAATGAAAACGGCTTCTAAATGCCAAGAAATTGAAGATGCTGAATTATCAGATACTTTTCCTAAGTACGAAATATCGTAATCCTTTAGAACACGCTCTTCTGTCGCATGCGTACTTGCACGATACGCGCAGCCGAAAATTGCATACTGGTCAGCCATGTTGCCAAATTGCCACCAAAGTAGAAAATCGCAATGAAAACAGAAAAGTAATTCATTCAAGGTTAAAAACTTAACAGAAATACGTCCATACAAGAAGTAGTAGACTACAGATTGAAATATCAAATTAATTGTACCTATATGCAAAGAAAATCAAATAAAGAATTTTCAGTTTTGGTTTCTCTATGGATGTCTATGAACGCGTGTGAGTTTTTAATCGGTTAATTGGAATTATGATGAGAATGGAAAAAGTAGTGAAAAGATATCATCTGGGTACTACTAATTACTATCTATTTTATATTGAATAGTTGTAATAAATTATTTGTTTCTATGAAAAGGCTAATGAAGTGGTAATGATAGTACTGGCAACTACGCAAAAAAATTTTACTGGCACGCCGGGGCAAAGAGCTGAACCATCATGGCGACCGTTGTTCTGTTTTGGAAGTTGGTGAATTTCATAGGGTGAAAAGTGATGGAAAACGACATTTGGTCCAAAAATGTATAGGAAAAATGTTGTTTGTTACGAGATTTCTATAAGGTGAGCATGCATGAAATCTGCAAAGCGGCAGTGCTGGTATAACACTGTGTTGTAAAGAGTTACCCGAAATATACTTATTTTATTCTTTTTCAAAAATTATAGTGCCTATAATTACATTAAATTATTGTTAACGTTTCTTATGAGAAGTGCAATGTTTCCTCAAATTTCTTGAAAAAGCATTATTCATAAAGCAAAATTAAAATTTGGGAAAAACAATTAGTAAAATTGTTGAAGCGACAAATGATTTTGGCAATTCCAGAAAATTCATTGCGGTTGCAGATTCGAGAAAATCAATCATCTCTCAGCAAATATCCGGACGAGGGAACACTCTGGTGTGTCAGAAGTGGTACCCAGTGGTAGAAGATACCCTCCACAGGAAAAAACATTTGTTGCGAATAGTCCCAAAAGCAACAAAACATGGTTGTAACCGAATTATTGACTACGTATTTAATAAAATATTACATCTTACGTTTATTTTATTGAGCCGATATATTTATTAGGCTGATAACTGTAAGTCAAACTTGCAGTTTTCGGTAAGCCTGTATAAACCTGATAAAGCTAGGTAAATGCAATCATTAGGAATCAAATATCGGAGAAATTCCTCATATTCCAATCGAATTATGCACGCAAACCGCTAGGAAGAGCGCTAAACTATAATTGCAGTTTCCATTCTAAAGGGGGATGTTCTGCGGTTTATATTTTGTTTTTAGTCGGTTATTACCTAAATGTATTTGTTTTTTGCTCAATAATCAACAATTGATTGCACTCGGTTTGAGTGGAGAATTATTTACTCTACTTAGTGCAGGTGTGCAGCTGTATAAGCTCGCCCCATGAATCTAAGAGCTACGAAAATTATTTTTCCAATCTTAATAAAGGTTTTGGTAAATACTGAGTGGGATAAAGACAAGTTTTTTTAAAAACACCAGAATGACGAAGTTATTTTTTTTGTTTTGAATGGATTGCTTGCTTTTTATTTGGCCAAAGATATTAGAAAACCTGAGAATACTGCTTTTGGAATCTGACAACGATTATCAACTACATCAAATAAAGATGTTCGATGAGAATGAAGAAATTGCTCGAAATCGTCCTCATTAAAATTGATCACCAAAAAAATTAATTATTGTGCAGAGACACGACAAGACTTGCCTCTGGCTCATGATACAATGAATACAAGATACAAGGTAGGATATTGCGTAGATTTGCGTGACGTCATGTGGTACTCACAGCATGGTTGGGCGTGTCGTGCTATTTTCCTGCCTGACGAATGTGATTAAATATAGCTTAATAAGTTTTAGTCACATTCCATTATTTTTTGTTATAAAATCTTCGGCACAATTACAAAATGCTTGGCAACGGGTTTTAAGTTTGAAAACGAAAGGTAACAAACATTAATTTATTTAGCAGACTAGGAGCAGTAAGAGTAAAGGAAGCATAGTTGTCAGAAGTGCAATAAAGTATAGTGTTGGCTCTTTAAAATGAGCCCTTGCATAAAATGTTAGGTTTTTATTATTTACCACTTAATATATAGTTTGAAATGTATTACTTAAATTTATGAATAAAATTTCAATTAATTTTTAATATAAATGAAATGACACTGCAGGATGTATGTAATTGTAATGATTGATGTATGTAAACGGCTTGCTTTAGAGCGTCAATTCCTTCACAAGTTATCAGCTTTGTTGTTTTTAGTTATTTAGCCTTTTAAACTGATAGGCTTATTCAATTTATTTGAAGCCCTTTCGCTACGATCTAACTGTTGTTTTGTTAACTATTTTAACTTTCGCAAAATTAGGGAAGGAACTGCAACATGCTTAAGCTTCTTTTTCTTATTTTAATATCTTATCTAGCGTATCTCTTTATCTCATTTGTGTGATAAGTCGAATTTTGTTTGTTGAGTTTTGGACATTGGAGAACCTCAAGCAATCATAAAATGCGAAAGAACTTTAGAATAATACCAAATTTAAAGCGATGTTGATTTTTTATGTTCATCTTTAAAGTTATTAGGTTGGTGAAAATTACAATTCTGCCGAATCGATCGTATATTTATTGGAAATTTTTTAATAACATGACGTTTGCTTGTTGCATTTATCATGTACATGTCCATGACTTTTGCGTTGACGGTATATTTATGCTTTTCAAATAAACCATTATTTCATAAAGAATATTAAGCAAAAGCCAGACAGCATTGAGGTAATTTAAGAATGCTTCCAGTACGTGTGTTTATATACCTAATATATGGCGGGTAAGGCAACAACGCTTGACGGACGATTAATGACGTGCGACCAAAGTTATAGCGTACAGACTATAAAGTAATCTCTCCAACTACCAAAATTCAAACACAGTTATTTGTTCACAAAATTTCCAGACACATTCATAGGTTAACCCAATTTCACGAACGACAGTCTGGCAACTCAGCAAACTAAACCGCTAAAAATCAGAGATTTTGTTAGACTTCTTTAGGGTATTTTTCTTCGCAATTAGCATTAATCCAGCCCCAACTACGATTTTGAAAGCATTGGGCTATACAACACTGCAAACCATATCCTCATATAAGTATCCATTTTTGAACTATTGCGTTTTCAAAATCAATGAAAATCTGCCGAGGTTAGATGCATTTTAAATGGGATCAGCTGTTCACTTTACAAAAGTGAGTACCAGGTGACGACAGCGCGCACGAAAATCGAGTTTTGGACCGATGAATATTCTACCTTGTAATCATTGTATCACGCCTCTGGCTTGTCTTTGCTTGTATTTAAATAAGAATCAAATATCGGTTTCTGGTTCGGTGCCGTCAAATTCTTCCTTTTCTCTTAGGACGCATTAGGCGTTTGATATAAGGCAGAAATCATATGTTTATAGGAATGGGCGACATGCACGGAACGCCAACATTCCCATTCATTAATTTTTAATTCGTAACGTTAACGTGGTGTTAACTTGGATTTTATTAAGTTAATGATTAAGTTTAAGGATAAAATTACGACGTCGGCTAATCCCGGCCTTATAAATTCAAATAAATACGTAATAATGTTTCAAAAATGTCTTACCTTGAGCTGTATAACTAGCTAATAAAATGGCAATAGATGGGGGCAGGATTAACTTCTCGCTTAATATGTCATTTCTCAATTGCAAATAAAATTGATACCTGGTATACTCTTCGTGTAGTTTACTTGGATCGGACACATAAAACTTAACTTTAAAATATAATGGATGTTGAAAGTTGTCTATCTGCTTTTTAATCGATTTGGCCGGATCAAGCCATAGCTGAAAAAAAGCAAACATTAAAATCGCGAAATAATATTAACATCCTTTTCAAATAGAGTATTATTTATAGATAATATGTTCGGACACGAATAAAATTGTGCTTTGTGTAAATTATTGTTGACTAAAATGGTATTCAGGAAACCGCCGGATCGAAGCGTTCGAAAGGGCCCCTAGGGGCCAATTGCACCGGCTCGGCTTAGGAGTTAAGTGGAACTTAATAATTTAAGTGGGCTGCACCGCTGCTTAACCGGAACTTAGACCAGTGTAACTGGAACTTAGCCTAAACCGAACTCTTAAGATTGGCTTACCCATAAATGGGATCTATACGTAAGCGTCGCCGGCTTATTGACGTAAGTACATAACCAAAATATTTTTTTGTCGAATTCAAATTTGGGTTTACTGTTCTTCGGGGGATATCTAATCAGGTACACACCTTCTGCACCTAGGGAAGTACACTAGTACATTAATTCACACTAACTAGAAACCTGCATTTTCAAAGGAATATAAGTTTATAATTTGTAACTATCCTACACTGCACTAAATAGCACGCACTATTCAATGAATGAATCCATTCGAATGATTTTATTGAACATGAACAGTTGTAATTATTCATTTAGTAATTATTCGATAGTCGAAATCATCCGATAGTGCCTCCTGGAAATATTATTTGTTCGAATTGGTAACCGAATTTTAGATTATAATTTTTGTTCTATTTTATGTATTGTCGCGCCAGCTATGTTATAGTTCTCTGGAACTACTCTGTCGTGCGCAGTGACGTGAAGCCCGAAGTGACGGCGTAGTGCGGCAGACATGTTTGACGGTCGTAATCTTAATCAATAATCAGTCAATAGCTCGTAATTTTCCACTTACAATAAATCTATTAGAACAAAAGTGGTGGTCCTTCAAGCCTCAACCTATCCATATAAATGGTCGTTCGAGCCGGATGGTCCAGCAAAACAACGAAGAGTTCGAGCACGTAAAAAGTCGCCGGCCGGATAGCAACGTCGAGCAAAAACGCGTTTTGTTCCGCCATTAAGACACCGAAATAGTACGGGCAACTCATCTCGAAGCAATTTAACACGTTCTCAGACGAAAAAAACTCACAAACAATCAGTTGAAACTCGAAAAAGAATCCACTGGTAGCGTAGTTTCACGAAAAATCGTAAAATGTCGTAGCAGTCTACAGGGTAAAACAAAAAGTGTAAGACCGTTCCATTATTCTATTAGCTTCTCAGCCTGTAAACTACCTGTAAAATGCCTGATAATATTACTCCCGAAAATTAAACAATTCAAGCGCTCATACGTAAAAGAACTGATATAAAATCTATTTTAACTAATTAATAAACGGAACTTTTTAGAACAAAAAGCGTCAGTCGCCCTCCTCAATTGAAATCATTCAGCAAAGCGAAAGTCGAAATTTCCGTTTTTAAGATCTCATTAACGAATTTGATCAAATTCAAGATTATATTGAGGAAATAGGGTCGGAAGAATTGTTTGAAAAATTGGCGTGCGAGCGTGAGCAGTTTGAGTCAGATTCTTTTACTTACAGAGTAGAATCATTTCAATTTTATTACCTTTACCAAAACTTGTTTTTTTCGTAAAACCTATCATTTAAATTTCTTAAGTGAGGAATTCCAGTTTTCAATATTAAAAATTATGTTACATAAGAAGGGTTTAAAAATTTTAGGAAGGTTAACGTGGGACATGGCACAAAAAAGGTTGGAAACACTAGTTTAGAGATGACGACAATGCATAACGGGGTGTAATGTAGACTGGCCCACTGCAATAAACGCCTTAGGTTAAAATGCGGAAGAGACTAGAACGAGAGAACTGAGAAAGAAACGGAGCTAGGTGTGGCAGAAACGCAGTACCTAGACTCTTGTGAATATACAGAGAGTAACTAAAAATTATGGTTTTTGTTAGTTTCTGTCTAATTCTAATACTTACTTCATTGTTAGTTGCAAATATGATGAATTCTTATTGTAAAATAGTGTTTTAATATTAGCCGTATTAACTGTAAAATATGACCATCTAAAGGATCTTGCTCCAAGCAATGTTCTGTCATAGATGTAAATAACTCTTCTATATTTAGTTGTCTGATTTAAATTAATTTTAAAATTACGTTGGACGTTGTAAAATTTTGATGCGGTTGCATTTTGCTCTCAGCAACAAGGCAAATCTTTACTACATCCCCTAGAAGGCTTGCAAAGCCCTCCCCTATTTTTTTTATTAACTAACATTGACAATGAAATATTATTGGTCAGTGAAGAAGCACACACATTGCAGTTGATAATTCTTACAAGTTTTCTACTCACAAATCCCGCAATATACTGTGTATCATTTAAATATAAACAATTAGTAATGCTGTTGTAATTACAAATAAAACTCTTATTATCAATTTATTCAGATATGTCAAAATTTTCCTCTAAAGAATTCAAAGTATTTTCTTATAATTTACACTGATGTTTAAAATCAATGTGTTGCCCTGGGCTAAACAATAGGCACTGCCTGGAGAAATTATTTCGCTATGTACTAATAGACATTTAAAGGCATTTTCAAACTTCCATGACGTTGAATTATTTGAAAAACCACCCCTTCGGCGTACAGCAGAGGAAACATTTCTAAGTGATCTTGGCTGAATTTGTAAGTTAGTAAGAACTGTAAAATATATGTTTCTACCAAGTCATTAAAAATACCTGGTACACTCAGCAAACATAACATAAAGCCAAGGAATCCAGTTTGTATTAGCATTTAAAATATTTTCGCCGTTAGGTCTTTTTAAAGAACTTAAATAGTTGACAAAATGAGCAACATATCTTTTAAAGAAATTTTCCCTTCCCTGAAAAAGTGGCCTTTAACATGACAGTTTGCCAAAGGCATTTCAAGTGTTTAATAGGTCAAAAATGTTGTTAATGTTTTGACAAAACACATGCTCTACATATATACATATATGTAAATCCTTGTCATAATATTCTAAAGCATCTGCCATACTTTGCTTGGGCAACAAGTTTTACTTTAATTTTTTCCTTAGAATAGTGGATATGCCGGGAGCGTATTCTTGTGGCACAGTGAAGGCCAGACTCATTTTGTAACTTAACTAACGTGCCCATTTAATTATTTTTCGCTCACTGTCTTGTAGATGACCCCAGTCACCCAAAGCGTTCCGAGCGAACTTTACCATGTGGCAAGCGTTAAAAAATAAGGTTTAATATTTGGAAAATGCAAATCAGCGCCCAATAGTTGAACTCTTAATGAAAATTCCAGTACTTCCGAGTTGTTGAAGACAATCTTTTACCAATTTTGCCTTATCTTCACCAAACAGTGAATTGATTAGAAAATAAGCTACTGGCACTTTCCATCTACAATCGTACCCCACCAAAAAAAACCAGCACAATTTTAGCTTTTGGTAAAATATCACTTTCGTGCAAACTTGTTCCAAAGTTAATATACCCAATATACAGGGTGATTCAAAATTGGCGTCATTCCTTTTAAGGGGTGATAGAGGCTCCCTTGGGGAGAACGAGAAAAATATTGAAAATTCTTTTTTTCGAAAATTTATAGAAGATATTGTACCGTGGATGGCCGGGTATTAAACTCTTTCTTCAGCTTCCAACTGTTATTCACTTCGGTATAACTTTAAATGCGGAACAGGAACAAAATAACTTCAAAATTACCGTCAACTTCACAAACAATAACAATAACAAACGGAAAACTCGGTCTTCCGACTCGCGGAATTTAACATCTTCTGAACTCTGTCGCTGCTGTCACTTCACTTCCTCCCCATGGTTCTCGTCGCTGCTTATATAGTTTTCTCTAGGTAACCCAGACGGTTCTCGAAATCTCCAGACCAGGTGTAAAATTTCCCGTTTGTCAGTGTCATATTTGACAGTAAATGGGGCTCCCATTTACTGAAATACCATGAATTTCGATCCCCCCATTCCAATCGTGAGTAACCAGGCCATTTCCGTTACAATATTAACAGTTGAAGATCGAATTTCAACTTTGTTATTAAGCATTATTTTGAAAGTGTTCCATGTTTAATTGGTAGCATATTGGAATACTTAAGCATTCAAAAAGAAAAATTACGATCTTTGCTTCAAATTATGAAAAATTTTTATGTCAAAAAAGTTATCTTCTACAATTTTTTGATGAAAAAGCACAGCGGCAATGTTGTTTTCTGTCATTAACAGATAGTTACAGGTGGATAGCCCTTGTCAATAAAAACAATATTTTGTCAAACTGTGACTTACTTTGAATTTCCCTTCACGAATTTCCGGATATGCGATTAGTTCAGGGGAAATGCTACAGTAACATGGCAGAAGCTGAAAGAACTCACGCCAACAAAGGGCGAGGAGAGTTTCCTAGATGTAATAGTGAGACAAACAATTCAGTACGCTATTGAATTATTTCTCCAACCAAAAACAAAAGAAAAATCTCGCATTACTTTATGAAAAGTTTTGACCCTTGATAAATTATAAGTTTTCTGGGGATTATTGCTACGTATGGGCAATATTCGATTAAACCGAATTCAAGATTACTGGAAAACCGATCATCTCTTTGAATTGGGAGTATTTGCAAATAATATGAGAAGAAATCGTTTTCTACTGATACTGAGAACGCTGCACTTTACTCAGAACCCACAGAATAGTGAAGTACTTCCACCTGACCGGCTATACAAAGTTAGAAGTATCGTAAACCTTTTCAATAAAAGAATGTCTGAAATATATTATCCAGAGCGTGAACTCAGTTTAGATGAAGCAATTGTGCTGTGGCGTGGTCGCCCTAATTTTCGGCAGTATATAAAAAATAAGCGTCATAAGTATTGCATCAAGTTATACAGGGTGATTCAAAATTGGCGTCATTCCTTTTAAGGGGTGATAGCTCTTGGGGAGCACGAGAAAAATATTGAATTTTTTTTTCCAAAATTTCTAGAAGATATTAAAAATTGAAAATCGAATTTTGACTTTGTTATTAAGCACTATTTTGAAAGTGTTCCATGTTTAATTGGAAGTATATTGGAATACTTAAGCATTCAAACAGAAAAATTACGATCTTTGCTTCAGATTACAAAAATTTTTGATATCAAAAAAGTTCTCTTCTATAATTTTTTGATAAAAAGGCACAGAGGCAATGATGTTTTTGTCACTAACAGATAGTTAGTTACAAGTGTTTAGCCCTTGTCAATAATTCCAAATCAAATTAATTCCTGGGTTTCAGTCATTTATTGTCTCTATTTATCAATCAAAACCTTTTCGGTGTATTTTTCCACCATCATCAGTTTTTCTAAAATAACAGATAGTTAAAAAAAATTTGTCATTAATTTAAAAACTTCAACTTTGTTATTAAGCATTATTTTGAAAAAATCCCACGTTGGATTGGCAGCCTATTGGAAGACTTAAGCATTCAAAAAGAAAAATTACGATCTTTGCTTCAAATTACGAAAAATTTTTATATCGAAAAAGTTCTCTTGTACAATCTTTTGACAAAAATGCAAAGCGCCAATGATGTTTTTTGTCATTAACAGAGTTACAGGTGGTCAATAATAACAATAATTTGTCAAACTGTGACTTATTTTGAATTTCCCTTCACGAATTTGCTGATATGCGATTAGTTCAGGGGAAATGCTACAGTAACATAGCAGAAGCTGAAAGAACTCACGCCAACAAAGGGCGAGGAGAGTGGTTTCAGGAAGATAGTGGATGACAATTGATGTTCGGGTTCCAGGCACAGAGGAACAGGTATTGGACATAATCGAATCAGGGCCTTCTAGGGGTACTCAGAGCACAATAACTGACACTTTCCCAAGCACCAAGTAAATACCGAGGAAAGGCGTTTGTACGATACACACAGCACAAGAAGATGCAAATGGAGCACGAGTTAATTAACTGAATACGAGAAGCTGCTTGATAAGAGTGGATAATACGGAAATTACACACGCACTAGCTTGTTTGGAGTTAACCATTCAAATGTTTGGTGTTGTATGGAGAATTTATGTAAACACAAAACCCCGCAGAATTCGAGGTTATGAGAACAGGTTGACATTTCGTCAAGAAATCTTGTTGAATTTACCGTTTATCCTTATTATCTCTCTCTTTATCCTACCGTAATAACAATCAATTTATTTTACTATTTTTTCTGTACTCCTATAACAGCGCCAGACAACACCTCCAGAGGAATGACGCCAATTTTGAATCACCATGTATATGCTCACAGAACTGGAGGAATAATTTTGAAATTTATGGTTTACACCGGCATGTTAGACGATTATGGAGGAAAACGGCATGCACAAAAAGTTGTGCTTAATTTACTGAAAGGGGTATTGGGTACCGGACATAGTGTATACATGGACAATTTCTATAACTCTTACGAACTGGCAAAATCTCTTGCTGATAAAGGAACGCACTGCACAGGAACAATGAGATAATAGAAAAACCTTTCCACCAGATGTCAGGGGTAAAAAAATAAAAAAAGGTGAAACAATAGCAAGATATGCAAACGGTATTATGATAGCGAAATGGAAAGACAAACGAGACGTCTGGTATATCTCAAATGAATACAAAAATGACATGGTGGAAATTCCATCTAAGAGAGCAAGACAAAGTGGAACTATTTCTAAACCGCTGCCTATAATTAATTACAACAAATATATGTCTGGCATTGACAGGCAAGACCAAATGCTTGCGCACCACCCATGCGAAAGGGAAACCCTTCCTCAGGATGGAATTCCAAAATTTTTGTACACATTTTACAAATGATAATGATAAATGCGCAACAATTTTATAATAAATATTCAGGAAAGCGAATGTCAATTTATGAGTTTCGGTTGTCAGTTATAAGAAGTCTATTGAAGCCTCCATCTAATCCTGATCGCGGACTCAGCATCAATGGGCATATTTTGAAAATTCGGAATGCCCGAAAAGAAGGGAAAGTGGTACGAAAACAATGCAAAAATTGTTATTTACAAAAAAGAAGGAAAGATACTGTTTATGTGTGTTCCTTCTGCCCTGGAAATCCTGGCTATTTTCTACACTGTTCAAAAATAACGCATGTGTAACGTGATACTACTTACTTTATATCGATTGTGTCTAGTTATTTAGTGAAATTATATATTGCATTATATTCTAAACAAAGTTTTCTGGAGATGTTGTACAATTTTTCCTATCATGCACTCGCTCGAGATTCGGCAATCCGCCACGAAATTCGACCCCAGTGTTCTGTTTTGAAAAATTTGACATTTCTATTAAAATCAAGCCAACTCACACATGAAAAAAACATATTTAAAAAACTCTACAGTTTCTATGACAAAAAAAGGAGTCGGCTTCTAAGATAAGTTCTTTATCCAGCTAAGCAGCGAATGTGTTAGTAGACATTTCATCAATAATCAAACCGGACACTAATTTTTCAACACGAGAAGAATAGACCCGCCAATGAAAAGAAAAATGTTTTTGCCACAGCTAGCGCTATCCTTCTCGACCTTTTTAACCACCACACCGACCACTTTTACTTCAAATCTTATATCAATATTAAACAGTTGATTTACTTACTATGCATTCTGAACTCCGATTATAGCAACCATTATTGGAAAATTGCAATCCAAAATAATCTTTTTCCACAAGCTCCAAATGGTCATAAACTTGGTCAAGAAGAGCAACACCTTTCGATTTCTTATCAACTTGAAATGTATGCTGCGTATCATCCAGAAACCTAAAAATTTCAAAATATGCATTACTTCTTCTGCGTACAAACAATAAAAAATAGTTCTTCATTGGTAGTACTTTCACCGGCCAACCTCAAAGAGAGTATAACCCCAATCCCTCGTTCGACTTTGGTAATGTTAAAATTAGGTCTCGATTGCTAACCACAGTAGCAAGAAAACTAATAGGAAAGTTAGGTAGGTAGTACTATCAAAAAATGGAAACATGGGACCCAGCTCAGTTTTTTAAGTATACAAGGATGACTCTTTCGATTTTAATAAATTGTTGGAGAAAGTGAAACCGAATATAAAGAAGCAGAAGAGAATAGACGGAATTTCCGCAAAATAAAGACTTATAATAATAAGGACATAAAAATAATTTATAAATAATAAATTCACTAAAATATATAAATAACACTATATATGTCAATCACTTTTAACTGTAATAAATTAATTTGTTTCAGCTGATTTGGGCCGACCAAATACTGAATTCGGATTGGTTGTTACACGTACACCAGTACTACGGTACGTACACCAGTACTATGGCTGTTCTACGAACAGTCACCGGCAAGAAATAAAATTGGTTCAAATTGAGCGGCACGTAACGCAAACGGTAACGGCCAGCGGTGTTTCTAAATGGATGTTAGATATTCCAATACTTTAATTTTAGTATAGTTTTTAATATTTTAGTTTATAAATGGGCCTTAAAGGTCCCTTTATAGACCTAATTTCTAAAAAGATGAGCTTATTTGGTTTGGTAGTTTTCGAGTTAAGGCCCAAAAAGTGGGTGAACGTAAATCGTTACACACTGTAAAACATACGATTACAATAGTCTTCAATAACAGCATGAGCGTCAGAAAATCCATGGAAATACGAGTTTTAACTTCCCAATATAAGCTTTAACCCACAACTGAAAGCACTAACAATCGCGTTTTATATACTCGCTCGCATCGCTTGGCCACTTTCAGCATGACATCGCACATTAGTCGGCGGTGTGCACGTACCCTGATAGTGTCACAGTGGAAAGTTCGGGCGATATTGAACAAAGAGAAACTACATCCCTATCATTATACACCGGTTCCAGACTTGCTTGAAGGTACTTGACTGTAAGGGAGGACCTTGATCAGCGTTTTCCGAATCGATGGATGGGGAGAGGAGGCCCCATATCATGGCCTGCTAGAAGCCCAGATCTAACTCCGTTGGACTTTCACGTATGGGGTAGGATAAAAGAGTTGGTTTATGCCAGATAAATACATACAAGGGAGGAATTAATATAGAGCATTACAGATGCTGTTATTACATTTACGCATACATTTTGGCAAGGTTAACCCGGACAGAAATGCGTTAGAAGAAAAGGACTTCATGTTGCGCAAGATCTTAAGTAGTTACTGTTTAGACTTAATGAATAAGATTTTTTCCGTATCGAAGCAAGCTTAGCACTCATTCAATACTTAGAATTAGTTAAATTTTAATTCACAGGTAAAGTAATATAATATGTAAAAACAAATAAAGAACTCTAAGAATGATGTCTACTGCGGCTAGTAATATTTGTTGTGATGAAATTGATACATATTTGGTGAATAGTACAACACATAACCATCAGGTAACAAGACCTAAAACTGCGTCAGCTGGACTGTAGGTGGAAAAAAGCCGGACATCGGTCACATGACAAAGGTTATGACACACCTAAATTATGCTCAAATGGAGACTGATGGAATGGAGACAGACGTTACTGAGAGAGTGTCAATGACGATTTCAATTTGTCTACTAATACGGCGAGCAACCGAGCCGCTTTTGAGAGGAGTTACCGTTAACTTTGCACATAGAAGCAGCCTTGGCCCAAGAAAATTAGAATAATTGACCAATAGACCTAAATAAGCATCATTTTCCAACAAAAAATTAATATTCTTATTTGGCGATTGCGTCTATTTATCTTAGTCGTACAGAACACTAGGCGTCTATTACGCGGTTATTATTATATTATTTGAGCATGAATGTATTTTACCAGTTAGTCGTTTATGAATGTTAATGATAAACTTTGAAAGCAAGTAAAGTCCAAATAAAAAAAGGATATATTAGAAAAACTCTATTTAAAATCATCTTCCAAACGCCCCCAAATTTAGTTAGACTATCGACCTATATTATTGCCAGCTCAATCGAATTATTTATTCGTTAAATTTTTCGAAATTTTTGTTTACATAAAAACATGGAAAAGTCGAAAATTCTCGAACATTTTTTCGATTCATTGGTTTGGCTAAAATCGGAAACTTATAGTTTCGCAGTATGGCTTTCCAAAATCATTTTTTCAAAATTCATTTTGTTCATAGAGCTATGTTTCGGTCTAACTAATATAATAATACATTCATCACCATTTTTTTTATTTTTGGAAATCATTTCAGTTGATCGGTACCAAAATTTACCGATTACATGTAGTTAAATTGAGTTTTTTTTCTTTCCAGCAAATCGATTTGACATGAAGTTGAGTCGTATTTGTCTCAATACTAGTGGTGTCAATTTCAACCAATTCTTATGTCATTTGACCTTTTAATCAATTTTTAAAATTTCCCCTCCATGTACCTCCATAAGAGCCTGTACAAACTTTTTGGTCTTTCCCCTGTAGTTTAAATAGGATTTTTTTTTAATTAACCAAAGTCGACTTGTCATCTATCTTTTGCATATTTAACAACCACGTAAGAGTTAAAAAAATAAAACATGTTTTCGCCAAAAAATTTGGTGAGTGCGATTGCATTGCGATTTTTTCAAAATTTTACATTTTTTTCTCGAAAACGAAGCTTCCTATCGAAGTTATTCTTTATAAAATCACGGGCTAATCCGGCACTATCCAACGGTATTTTTGCAGTTTTCCAGTGTTCGTAGTTTTCGAGAAAGTCGCGAAAATATGATTTTTAAAAACTGAAAATATAGCGATAACCAGAAGAGCTGAACTGAATCTTATCAGTCCATTTCGGCTCTTTTGAACAAAGCGTACAGATGGATACATTTATTCCGCCTAAATGGTTCTTTCTCAATTTGACCTTAAAATCACCTTGATCCTGACCTGATCAGGATGAGTGAGTCAAACTGACCGCGGATTTGGATTCAGCAGGTCAAAATATTGCAGGATTTGTGTCTCAACCCCAAGTAAAAAAAAAATTGGTTGTGTGGCTGTGTTATTTGCAAATATTGATCAGCATTAAAATTACTAAAAATATCATAAAACGACAATAGCATTTAAATTAGGCTTGGAATACACTGTGTCGTGTGACACTTTTGTGGTGATGCCGTTCTGTATGTGATGCGCACATGGATCTCCAATCAATAGAAAAACTTTCGTACCATCGTATAAACGGATGCATGGGACATGGGCCTCAGTCGTATTTTTTTACGTAAAATGACAGCCAAATAATCCAGATAAACAAGTATTGTGYCGATTTTTTTATTTTCGATCAGTTTTATACTGTTAATACTCCAGTATGCTGATAATGTATCGTAAGTTCCAARTTCTTCTGGATGGAATTAACATGTGTTTGAAATACAGGAAAGTCCGCTTATAACGAATCCGGTTGTAGTAAATTTTCGATTAAAACATTTTTTTTTCCTTTAATTGAAACGTCATCCATACAGGCCAACGTATTTTTTCACTGGTTATAAAGATCCTGTTTATAACGAACTTCCGGATATAACGATGGCTTTTTAGGGTAGTTAGTATATTCACTTTCCGTTTATAACGAACTTGACAATGGTTTATAGCACCCAGATGTTACCTATGGATCAAGGAGTAATAATAAATACATTCGCTAAAATGTCATTACAGAAAAATTCTTCTTAAAAAATAGGCAACCGGTAAAAATTTAACATTTTCTATAAGTCTCTTGGATGCAGTAAATTTCGTTCATAGAGCTTGGCAAAAAGTTAGCCGAGAAAAACACTTGCAAATTCCTTTAAGCATCATGGATTTGTAAGAAAATAAAATGATTATGAACCAGACGATGACATTCTACTTAACCAATGGTTGGAAAAGCATCAAGTACTTTGACTATGAGTATGACTCAGATGAATATGTGCACAATTTTGTCGAAGAAAAAGTTAAAACCAATATAAGTGATTTCAATATCATCGAATAGGTGAGCATTGATATTGGCATTCTCACCAGAGAAATGTTGACCGATGAGCAAATTATACACTTCGTAACCTCATCCACAGCTTTAAGCGGCATAAATAACATCTATTTTTGCAGCAGAGACGTACAAGCAAAACTTACAGACTTTATGAAGTAGATTTAGAATTGTGTTATGTCTCTCTTTTTGTGTTCTTTTCAGTTATACWTACTAACTTGTACTACTCCTTGTAAATATCACGAAGAAAATGCACCACGTGTTTTTGTATTATTATTCGCTTATAGCGAACTCCGGATATAACAAACCAGTTTCAGTTCATTTTTGAAGTTCGTTATATCCAGACACAACTGTAGTTTATTTATAAATTTACATACTTATAAAATGTTATCAAGTTATTATTAACTAATAAAATTCAGATTTTAGAGTCGTGACGATAAAATAGAAAGTTCTGAACAGGGTCTAGGGAAGGAGGGCAGCAGCTCTCCTGGATATATTCATATTTCAGATTTTTCAAGAAAACTGCTGAAAATAAAATTGAATTCCAACTAAACTATTATATATGTCTAAAGCAACCCGTAGATTTCAATGTATGAGTTATCTATTTCCTAAGGCAATAAATGTCATTTACTTAAAGTAAATTTCCCTTCTCACAAAGTGAAAGTATACATAATTATGCATGTGTAAAATAAGGGGCAACATTGCATTTTGTTTAATTTCTGTAGTCCTGAGGTCTGAATGCCTATTAACGTACAGCATTCCCTACAAAGGTGCCCAAGACAAGAAAAAGACGGGTGCAACCTAACCGCAATCAATCAGGAGGTTTAAAATAGACCCCAAAGTTTTGCGGTGACATTAATGTCGCAACAATGGACATTTGGTGGTTCAGACAATAAACATGATTTGATAACGACACCGTGACACTGGATCAGACGTCACGGCATTAGACGTCACGACATGTGAACGAGCTTTAAATACCGTCTCGTTAGAACATGATTTTCAAAAGTTTGTATGTACTTAAGTGTTTTTTTCTGAAAATTTATAGACGATCCGCATTTTGTTTATTGAATCTGCTTGAGCTTTAGTGTACTTTAAGGAAAAATTAAAAAGAAACCAAAACCATGACAGGCATAAAGTATATGACCACCCACCAGCGTGGCCAGATTGGGCGATTTATTGCAAATTGGGCTACTTTTCCGAAAGTTTTCACCTTAATATTTGGCGRTTTGTMACTGTTATCTTTTATGAATTTTTAGTCAGGTGACTAACTAGACTTAATTGTAAAATAAATCAGAACATGACGACGAAGTTTTGGAGATTTGCAACRAAATATTTTCAAATTTCTCAAACTTATTTAGAATTAGATTTAAGAACATTTAAMAATTAAACTTGTTACGGTGCCTTTTCTTGTTTAATAAAGTCAATATTACTTATGTCTACTTATTTTAATTTTATTTGTGTAAATACCTGAATATGAAACCACTGTATTTTTACACGTTACGAGTTAACATTGGTTATGCAAACATTTGTTTCATAAATTATCGAAACCTCTCTCTGAAATTGTTGTAAACATAATGGGGATCGCGTCTATCGCGAGAGCAATTGCTACTTTGGGCGATAAATGAGCGTATCCGAGGCAATGCTTACGAAAATCTGGCCACACTGGCACCCAGCTTGTACGAATCTGAAAGCAATATGACGTGATCCGAGCTCTATCGTACTATGGGATAACCGTGTTGATAATTAACCCCCGGAACTAACTGCAATCGTTTTGCATGTTTACTAACCACTAAAAACTTCTATATACCTAGTAGTAGCAATGGTTGAACTTGCCTAGAAATAGTTATGGTAAGGAGGGTAAGAAATACGAAGGCAACAATTCGACAGTTGTCAGGTGTGTCGGTTTTGCTTTTCCATTCCCATCAGATTGTAAATACCTTATACGAATGTGTCGCTTCAATACCATCATATTTTTTGTGACCCGATACTGATCGATTTTAGATCCAGGGCTAAGAATTTTAACTTACTTAACAGTTATGCTTAGGCCCTTAAGTTTTCTTTCCCTTGCGGCAGCCAGTTCTAACGCTTGTACATTGTATGTACCACTAGAACCACCAAAAGCTTTTTTTGAAACACTCTCGATCATACTTTGAATACCCTACAGCATTTCCAGGACACATTATCCTGAAACAAATTTGACATTTATTTTGGCAGCATATCTAAGTGAATCATTTGAAGTGCAGGAATTGGAAGTAGAACCTACCAGAACAATTGAAATTCGTCACTATCAGCGATTTGATAAACTTAACAACTTGTAAATAATAGAGTTATCGAAATGGACTTGCAATGATAAGAACACATAGCAATGCTGAGGAAAGGGGGTATCCTATCTTAGTAATCAGAAAACTAAACCGTTTTTGTTGTTTGCAATTTAGCATTTTTGAACAGTCAAATAAAATATACTAAAAAAGCACTATCTTAACAACACATCACTAAGCATAATGTTTCACTTAACCGATAATTCTGATATCGTCAAGTAAAAAACCATTAATATAAAAATAAAGCATTAAAGTGCAAACTAAAAAATTGACACTGGATATATTTATTATATATATCATAGACATATGAAATTGAGAAGAATGACGGTTCACCGAGAACTTCAGTTACTAGATATAAGTTTGTAACGTAACTTGGCAACGCCGCTATAGGCTGTTATAAAACTCAATAACAAAAGTTTATTATAAGTAAATAACTTTCAACTGGAATTTCTCGTTTATATGTCTTTACAAGATGAAACAAACAGACGCTAAAATAATTAATGTCAAAAACTGAAAAACTAAAAAATGTACGGCTAAGCCTAGGTATCATTAGCGAATTTTCGGAAAATAATCGGACGATTTGATAGGTGTCCGAAAAAGTTGAAATAAAATAGTTCTCATTTGCGATTATTTCTTGCTGAAAAAAAGCAATAATTTTGCCTCATCGTGGTGGTGACAATGACAGTGATTTTAACCTAAAACCCCACTTTTTCGTTCCCTCGCTCGGCGTTCGCCCAAACAAATTGCAAAGGACAAGGAAACCATACTATCCCCAGAAGTCAAGACCCTATAAATTTACGCAATTATATACAAATATTGAGCATATTTAATTTTGAAGAAATGTAGAAAAAGTATTTTCAAGGACTTTATTCAATTTTTGAAATTCGACCAAGAGCTTTGGTAATGCGCAAAGCATAAGAGCTTGAAAAAAATAAGAGGAATACGAAATAATTTAATGAATTAAATTAGAATTTAAAATAGTCTGTGTACGGGAACACCAAACGATTTTACATTTAAAATCTTCAACCAGCTGACAATTTACGCGACTATCCAGTAGGAGGAGCCGACAGTCACAGCAGAGACAAGTCTTGTCTCTGGTCACAGAACACCTCTCCTTTGAAACTTGTGGTTCCGTCTAAGAATGCGTCAGATCCGTCATCCGTATGCCATCACATCA